AAGGATTTGATATCTGGCAGGTAATTGCTGCTGCACCTATACTAGTCATTGTTTGATATTTAGATAAGTCCAGCTGACAAGCTGTGATGGAAGGCTGGCTCTGCTTGTATGAGCTCCATTTTCAAACTCACACTGACCTGAACGCTGCATATATGCAGGTTAGAGAGTTCCACCTCATGAGCAGTGACTGGGTTTAGAAACTTAAGGCACCTAGCATGGCTCTCTGTAACAGTCAAGTCAACTCCCTCCAGTGTCCAAACCCTCCATTATGACAGTGACATCCTTTTGACAGGTTTCTCTATATCTGACTGACATTTCTCTGTCCTGTTGGAATCAGCACACAGACTGCCAAAGCTGTACCCAAGCAAGAGCTTTTAAAGCCCATTGAAAGCACAGCAGTGTCAGAAGCTTGTGGCTAGAGAATGGGATTCGGGGTCAAGAAATATGGGTTCTGCTCCTGGCTCTCCCATGAACTTTTGTGCCATTGGCAAGTCATGTAGCCTCCTTGCCTCAGTTTCCCCATCTGTAATACTGAGAAAACTGTATTTACCCTGCCGAGGCGGGGAGACGCTGACGTAATTCAATAGTTCCAAAGTGCTTCAAGAGCCTCAGATGAAAGGCGCTAAAAGATCAGAAGTTTTATAGAGGAATAGAATTGTGCTTGTGCCATGAAAGTGGACCAAGTGGGTGGATGGAGATAAGGAGAAGCCAAAAGGTGAATCAGGGCAACAAGTATTTCCAGCTCCTGACTGATCACAATCATGTTAGCTATATGCCAAAAATATAGATATTTATCTTCTGTGCTCCTAGGCCCGTACTTATTAGTTGCGCATGAGACTGTAGGATATATAGGTAGGAGCACAGAAGATATCTGACAGGGCAGATGCCTGATAACACTGCTCTACAGCCAAAATGCTTCTGAAATAAATGTAGTCAAACTTTACTAATTCTGGGTCACTGAGAACGAAAATGATGCTTAAAATTGTTGATTGGCTCTAGTTTTCAAGATATGCTATTGGGTCAGTATATACGACCCTTGACTTGGGAATGGCAGAGGATAAGTGAGTTATAAAGGGAAGGGATCTCAATTTAAACCAGAAATGACTAAAATACATTTTTGACTGGAACTATGAATAAATCTATGACTGGGTTTGGACAGTACTTGCTTTTTAGGCAAAACAATGAATGATGCAATCTGAAGCTGGTATTGCGTCATACATTATATGAATTGCATCATGTTATTCCTAGAAGTCATGGATGATGCAATCATAACGAAGCTTACATCACTGTGCTGAACAAATTGCCCTATATCAGCTCTAGAAATCATACAGTGTCGTGCTCTCTTATTTGTCAGTGTTTGATTTTGCAAAGGGACACATTTCTGTTTAGCCAAAGTGAGCAGAGATACCTCGTACTTGTGTAAACAGTGCAGATAACTTCTGCTATGTTTGTGGTGAAGTGACTTTTGCATCACAAAAGCGCAGTATAA